CTCCTCCTCCTCCTCCTCCTCCTCCTTCTCCTCCTCCTCCCCCTCCTCTTCTCTCAGGGCTGAGGATGGAATCCAGGGTCTTATACACATTAGGCAAATGCTGTATCACTAAGCTACATCCCAGCCCTTCGTTTTTTGAGCCAGGGTCTTGCTAGATAGCATGGGCTAGCCTTGAACTTGTGATCCTCCTGTCTGGGATTACAGGTGTGCATGCACTACCATGACTGATCCAAGTCTCTTTTTCCATCAGCCAAATTAAGATAACTTTCTATTAGAAAAGGCCTGGTCTATTTTCCAAAGCAGATAAATGGGATAATATGTATCCTCTGTCAACCTTACTTTTAAAGTTGAATCTATTTTTGTGAATATGCTAGGGATTAGAATTCAGGGTTGCACACATATTAGGCAAGCACTTTTCTATAAAGCTCTACCATCAGCCTCCATGAAATTGAATGTTTAAAAAATTTATTTATCTTTTATGTGCATGAGTGTTGTGTGTGTGTGTGTGCGTGTTTTGTTTTTTTGTTTTTTGTGTTTTTTTTTTTTTTTTCTTTTTGAGACAGGGTCTCCCTATAGCCCCCACTGTCCTGGAACTCACTATGTAGACCAGGCTGGCCTTAAACTCACAGAGATCTGCCTGCCTCTGCCTCCCAAGTGCTGGGATTAAAGGAGTGCACCACCACGCCCAGCCTGTGTATGAGTGTTTTGTGTACAATGCCTGAGGAGGCCAGAAAAAGGCATCAGATCCCCTGGAACTGGAGTTGTAGAAGGTTGTTACCTGCCATGTGGGCACTGGGAATTGGACCCCAGTCCTCTGAAAGAACAGCCAATGCTTTTAACTGCTGAGACATCTCTCCAGTTCCAGAAATTAAGTTATTATTTAAAATTATTTTGATGTATTTACTTTTATGTATATGAAAGTTTTGCCTGCATGTACGTAAGTGCACCTGTGTTGTGAAAAGCCTGAGGCAGCCAGAAGAAGGTGTTAGATCCCCTGGAACTGGAGTTCCAGGAAGCTGTTAGCTGCCATCTGGGTGCTAGGAATTGAACTCTGGTCCCCTGCAAAAGTACCCAGTGATCTTAACCACTGAGCCATCTCTCCGGCTCCTTAAAATATTTTTTAAAAAATGGGCCTCACTATATAGCCCCGGTTAGTCTTGAACTTGAGAAAATCCTCCTGCCTCTGCCTCCCAAGTGCTAGGAATACAGGTGTGCTCCATCATCCCCAGAAAATTTGATTTGTGTGCATGGGGTAGGGGAATGCATGATTTGAGCACAGGTGTACATGTGCCATGTGTTCATGTAGAGATCAGAGGACACCTTTGTGGAGTCTGTTCTACCTTTATGCATGTTCCAGAGATAGAACTCAGGTTGTCATGCTTGTGCAGTAAGCTCTTTTACTTGTTGAGCCATCTCAGGGGCCCCAAACTGAAGGTTTTTGCTTGTTGGTTTGTGTGTTTTTGTTTTTGTTTATGTTTTGGAGACAAGGTCTCCCTGTAGCACCAGCTGGCTTGGAATCTCGCTACAGAGACCAGGCTGCTTCAGTCTCATTCATAGAGATCCACCTGCCTCTGCCTCCCAAGTGCTGAGGCCAAAAGGTTTGTGCCATCATGCCCAGCTAAACTGAAATTTTTTTAAATTATTTTATTATTGGGCAGGGGATAGGGGGCTTTATCATATGGAGGTCAGGCAACTTTTAGAAGTCTGTTCTCTCCTTCCACCCCAGGAGTTCTGGTGATCTAACTCGGGTTATCAGACTTGATGGCAACCACTTTTGCCCACTGAGCTATCTCACCAGTCTGCATATTTATTATTATTATATTTTTGTTTTGGTTTTTTTGAGACAGTGTCTCCTTGTAGTTCTTGCTATTTAGACCATCCTGGCCTCAATCTCACAGGGATCTGCCTCCCCAGTGCTGGAATTAAAGGTGTATGCCATCACACTCAGCTTATTTTTATTATTTTATAAAATATTTATTTTTTATTTATATGTATGTATCTGTGTGTGTATGCTGCATTTATGCAGGTGCCTGTGTATTCCAGAAGATGGTGTGAGATCCCCTAGAGCTGGAGTTAGAGGTGACTGTGAGCCACCCGACCTGGGTGGTGGGAAGTGAACTTGTGTCCTCTGGAAGAACAGCCACTGAACCACCACTCCAACCCTGTAAATTAATTTGCAGGGGAGGTATTGTTTTGGGTTTTTTGTTGTTGTTGTTTTGTTGAGATAGGGTCTTACTACGTAGCCCTGGCTGGCCTGGAAATTGCTATGTAGACTCAGAGATCTGCCTTCCTCTGCCTCCTGAGTGCTAGCCTAAAAGAAGTGCACCACCACACCCAGCTATAAATCTATTTTTTGAGACAGGGTCTCATGTACTTCAAGCTGACCTTCTACACTAGTGGCCTTCTACACTAGTGACCTCCTACACTAGTTGTGTAGCTGAGAATAGCCTTAAAATTCTGATCCTACTGCCTCCACCTCCCAAGTGCTGGAATTACAGGACTGTGCCCCCATATCCTGTTTGTGTCTTACTATGGATCAAATCCAGGGCTTCGTGCATGCCATGCAAGCATTCTACAAACTGGGCTACAACCCCAGACCTGAAACTGTATTGTTAAGTGGAGATGGCACATAACAGCCACAGAGCTGCCGCCATTTGAAATTCCTCATAGACGTTCTTCTAGACTTTGTCTTTCAAAATATTCCTCACAGAGCATTCTCACACAGCTCTTCTCTTTGGTTTTTATGCTACAAAGTAGACTTGCGAGTGAGGGAAAGGAAGAATGAAGGATGACTGGCAGACTTGTTACTCTTTCTTACGTTGATCAATTTGAAAAAGAGGCAACGTATGTAGGAGACAACGCTGGAAATTAATTCCCTTAAAACTAGGTGTCTCCTACCTTCCTTCATGTCCCTGGAGGGGAATGTGAGCTCTTGTTTGAAGGACTGTGATGCAAAGTGAGAGAAGACATCAGTGGTGGCACTGTTACTGCTTCCTTCATTCTAACAGGGTGGGGAGAAGCAGGCAGGGCCAGAGGTGGGCACATCAGCGATCTTTGAGGGTTTATTTTTTGTTTTTTTCCTTTGAAACAGGTTCTCACTATGTAGTCACATAGTCCAGGCTGTCCTTGACTTCTTGATCCTTGTATCTCAGGTGTACAACCCCTCCTCCCCATCCTAGTTCTGAGATTATAGACCAGAGTCACCATGCCTGCCTGCACAGCCTTAGTTTTCTTTATGAAGAATGAGGTTGTTCTGTTCACTGAAGTGGGAGTGGGGGAAGAGCAGAGAACATCAGATGTTGGAGGAAGGTGGGAAAATAGTAAATAATCATTACAAATAATGGAAACTGGCAATTAGAATGGAAATCAGCTAGATAGGACTGAGGGTTCAGATGAAAGTGGCGAATTCAAATCTACATTCAAAACTACATAAGATTGCTCCATTGTGTGATTTTTTTTTTTTTTGACACAGGATCATGTGTAGCCCAGGCTGACCAGATATAGCTGAGATTAACCTTGAACATCTGATCTTCTGCCTCTATTTCCCAAGTAGTGGAATTACAAGCCTGTGCCACCACTCCTAGTTTATGTGGTGCTAGGGATTGAACCCAGGACTTCATGCATGCTAGGTGAGCACTGAGCTACATCCTCAGCCCCTATTTCATTTTATTTTATTTAATTTATTTTATTGAGACAGACCATCTCATATAGACTAGGCTGGCCCCCAACTTGCTATGTAATTGAAGCTGTCCTTGAATTCCTGTCCTCTTGCCTCTGCCTACCAAGTACTAGGATTATAGGTATGTGTTACCTTGCCCAACACCCAAATAAGCGTTAATATGTTCTATTTTATTTTATTTTTATTTTAATTTTTTGGTCTTTTTGAGACACGGTCTCCCTGTAGCCCTAGCCGTCCTGGAACTCACTATGTAGACCAGGCTAGCCTTGAACTCACAGATATCCACCTGCCTCTGCCTCCTGAGTGCTGGGACTAAAGGTGTGCACTACCACGCCCGGCTCTATTTTATTTTTTAATATTTTATTTATAATTATTATTTTTTGTGTGTTTTTGTTTTGTTTTGTTTAAAACAGGGTCCTTTTCAAATAGCTGGCTTGGAACCCACTGTAGACCAGGCTGGCCTAGATCTCACAGAGATCTGCCTGCCTCTACCTCACAAGTGCTGGGATTAAAGGTATGTACCATGTTTGTTTCTTCTTTTCTTTTTCTTTTTTTGGGGGGGTCACCATGTCCAACTCTAACATTATATATGTTTTGCCTACATGTAAGTACACCATGTGTAGTTCCTATAGAGGCCAGGAGAAGGCATCAGATCTCCTGAAACTGGAGTTATAGATGGTTGTTAGCCACCATGTGGGTACTGGGACCCAAACCCAGGTCCTCTGGAAGAACAAGTACCCTTAACTAAAGAGCCAGCTCTCTAGCTCCCAATATGTTCTATTTTATTTTTTTATTGTATTGTATTTTGTATTGTATTGTATTATTATTTTTGAGACAGGGTCTCCCTGTAGCCCCAGGTGACCTGGAACTCACTAAGTAGACTGACCTCGATCTCATAGAGATCTCCTGTCTCTGCCTCCTGAGTGCTGGGATTAAAACATATACCACACGGGCATATGTTCTTAATAAAGCAACTATTCCTTGAGCTTTTACAGGGTTGTTTTGACTAGTTTTTACATGCCTCACAGCATGCTTATAAGCCATGCATGTCCAGGGGCAAAATCCTAGCTCATCTGCCCAAAATGGTATTTAAGTAAAAATGTTGAAATTCAAAATTGGCAATGCATTAAGCCCTGCTTCCCAGAGTCAGGATTAGAGAGGTAGGCTGGATTAGCCAGTTATGTGGAGTGCCTGCTGTTAGTTTGAGCCACTGTAGGTATGAAGTTTCTCTCTCTCTCTCTCTCTCTCTCTCTCTCTCTCTCTCTCTCTACTTGTTTTTCCAGTACAGGTAACTAAACCCAGAGCCTTTGCTCTGCTAGGCAAGTGCTCTCTCATTCTACTACACTGAGCCATACCCTCCAGCCCCAAGGTGATATTTTATCACTGGGTTCTTCTAGTCCTCTGGGTCTGGTGTCACAGAGAATAACTATGATCAATACATGAACTTCTCTGATTCACCTGCTTTCTTGTAGGGTTGTATGGCAGTGGCTTGGAAGAATGGAACCTAGAAATCCCTAAGAAGGGTGCTCAAGTGTACCCGAACTCCAATACCCACATACTCACCCTCCCGCGCTCTAAGATTGCAGTAGTTGTGTTCAGGCAGTGTTTGAAACTCCAGTTCCAGATGCCAATTTCTCCCAGATTCTTTTTGTTTCCTTTTTTTGGGGGGCGGTGGTGGTTTTTTTTTTTTTTTTTTTTTTTTTTTTTTTGAGACAGTCTCATAGCCCAGGCTGGCCTCCAACTTGCTATATAGTAAGGATGACCTAGAACTCTGCTCCTCCTGCCTCCACTTTTCATGTGCTAGGCTCACAGCATGGACCACCACACCCAGCTGAAGGAAAAGATTCTTTAGGGTCTAGGAACTTGCTGGTCTCCCACAACAGGGCAGAAGAGCCAAGGTCAGTTGCTGAGGAGATCCTACACTCTCTTTTGAGTTAAGGCAAAATTTTGTGAAGGGGGGCTTCCTAGAGGTGGGGTGTAGGGCCTCATGATGCTAAACAAGTACTGTACCACTAAGCTACACCCCAGCCCAAGGCAGGACTGCTTATGCTTAGAAATAAATGTAGGTCACCTTCTCCTTCCTGTGGCCCAACATCCCAGATGATATTAGGGTTCTCTCAGTCTGGCTATGTAATAAAGAGGGACACAGTTCATGGTAAAGAAAAGTCATGATCCCAATGAATAGCCATAGGCTAGAGGGGCTGAATGAGAGAGAGAGACAGAGAGAGAGAGAGAGACAGAGAGACAGAGACAGAGAGACAGAGAGAGACAGAGACAGAGAGACAGAGAGAGACAGAGAGACAGAGAGAGAGGAGGAAGAGGAGAAAGGAGAGGGGAGGCCCCTATCCACCCCCCCCAGGGACAGGTTCAGATTAGGTCCTAGTAACTGTCTCTGCCTCCACATGTCAGCAGTTAACTATCTCTTTTCTTTTTTCTTTTTCTTTTCTCTCTTTGAGGCAGGGTTTTGTCAGGTAGTCTTTGATCTTTTGGGCTCAAGTGATCCTCTTGCTTCAGCCAAGTAACTGTAACTACAGGTATATGCACATGCCATGGTGGCCAGCTATGGTCAGGTGTTACTTATCTGAATTTAGTTATCTTGCAAGGGGTAAACTTACATGGTCAGCTTTGTGTAGCCATGAGTTCTGCATCTACAGATTCAACCAAGCAGATCAAAAATATTTGGAGGGAAAAAAAAATCACACTAAAAACTGAACACAGAGAGAGAGAGAGAAAAAGAGAAAGAGAGACAGAGACAGAGAGAGAGAGAAACAAAAGCTGAACACATACATATTTTTTCTTGTCATTATTACAACAACACAAGTAACAACTAACATAGCATTTACATCATATTGGGTATTATAAGTAATCTAGAGACGATAAATATACGAGAGAATATGCATCTGTTATATGCAAATACTACACCATTTTACACAAAGGACTGGAGCAGCCTCGGATTTTGGCATCCTGGGGTGGGGACTTGGCGGCTGGAACCAGTTCTCCATAGATACTGAGGGACAACTAACTGTCTTCTGTCTTTTCCACATTCTTATGTTCTTATTTGGGTTTCTGTTCCACTTGTCCTTGGCTAGTTGATGGGGGAGGTAGGTCTCAATAACAGGAGAACACAACAAAATAAAACAGAAATGCCCTCTGACTTGCCTCTAGCTTTGCCACAGATTGATTGGCCCTGAAAACTCTTTTCACTTTTCTGATATTTATAAGTAAAACTGCCTAGACTGGTGGTCTTCATGTCATGTCTTACAGATCTGCCAGGAACCTGGAGGCCCCTGGACAGCTGCACTAGAAAAGGAAACTGAGCTGGCTGCACCCCCAACTCATGCTTTGGAGTAGCTACATGTTTATCTGTTGTACATGCTGGGTTTGCACACAGGAGTCCTTTGAAAGAAGGATTCTTCTTCTGTAGCTCAGCTCAAGTCATTCCTTTCCAATCAACCCTTCCTGGTTGCCTCACCCTGGGTACTTGGGCTCCAGTAATAATGAGAGCGACCCACTGAAGGCTGCCTGTGTATGCAAGCTGCTTCCCTGGCCAGAAGGCTTGATTTTCACACTTCTGTCCTTGTAATACCATCTACAAAGCAGGTGTTCAGCAAATTTGTTGGTGCTACCTAATATCATGAACTATCACTTTGGATGAAACCTCAGGACAGGTTCTTTGCTTTGGAGAGGGAGAACCAGGCTTTGGTTTGTAGATTTCCCTCTCTCCTCCAGAGACATTTCCTTTAAAAACTGAGGACCTGGCAGAGACCAGATGCACACATTCCCCCCAAAGAACAGGTCTGAGTTTCTGTCTTAACTAGATTCTGTTCAACCTCTTCTGTTCCTCAGTACCTCTCCTGGCAAAGCCTCTTTGTATTCTGCAACCATGGAAGAGGCATGCCCTTGAAGCCTAAGAGTAAGATCAGCCATGATCTGGGAGGCCAAATTGCTAATCAGCATCTCAAAGGATTCCAGAGGGGAGCAAAGGGGAAACAAGGAAGGACTCCGAGGTCTGCTCAGAGTACAGCTTATTCTGGGGATGGAGGCCCAAAGGGAAGGCAGGGTTTACACAGAGACACTCAAGAAGGGAGACTGGGTAAGTGCCAGAAGCAAAGGGTTAAGACAGCCAGGGGCCAATGGCCCTGAAGCAGGTAGCCAGGAGGAGACTGGGAATTGTGGTAGAATGAGTCAGGAAAGTAATCTGCCACTAACCAGTGACATGACTTTGGATAAATAATCAACCTTACGTAGTCTCAATGTCTTTACCTGCAAAGTGGGGTAAAAGAACGTGACCAACTGCAGGTCATTCTGTAGTGAGGTCCAAGGAGACTTACAGGTGCAGAGATGGAAAGGGATGATGATTGTTCATTAACAGGGGAGCATACTGGAGCTGGCTTCCTGTGAGGGATCGTCATTTAGGGATGCTCCAAGGCCGATCTTCCTGCCTCCTCCTGTTTCTCTCTCAGCAGCTATCTCTGCTTGCCTTGGACAGTTTCTGGTCACACTAGTGAATGTGAGAAGGGCAGGGCAGTGCAGGATGGAGACCTCAGCTCAATTCTGGCTCAGAGAAGTCTCCCAAAGAGCAAAAAGTGTTCTGAAGAGCCAATGGAGTTGGGGGGGGGAGGGTGGGTTAGGAGGCTGTGGAGGTTCTTGAGGGCTTTTCTGGTCAGTAAGCTACCCCAATAGGATCTCCAAGATGGGGTACCTTAGTGTCACTGAACTTCTTGCCACCTGGGAGAGGGTTGGTCAGCCTCTCCTGCGTGCCTAGAGCTGCACATTTGGCCTCCCCACTTTCCAGAAGAGGGATTCTTATTGGCACTGTGGGGCAGATGAGCCCTTAGCTGGTCACAGGGAGAGCCTGGTATTACCTGGCAAGCCCCTCCCATTGAATCCTCCAGATGCAGGGGTAAGTAGCAGAGAGATCAAGGCTAGAACATCTGGCAGGGTTTGAAATCCATAGCTGGAGGGTAAGACATATCAATTTGGAGAAATACCTTCAGGCTAGTGCTGCCCCTGTCTTATCTTCACCAACAGGGTTCTGCACCCTGGACTGGCCTGTCTTGGCCTCCCTCAACTGCTGTAGCCAGAGGTGTAGGTGCTGGGCCTACGGAGCCAAACATCTGGCAGATCTGGCTGGCTGTTAGGGAGTACCACAGGGCTGATATCCCCTGGCCCTCCGCGGCCTTTCCAGGATAAGCTGCTGTGGTGGGAGTTGGGCAGGGTTGGGTCATAGATGGTCTCCTTCAGTGCCAGCCACAGGGTGTCGCGCTTCCCATTCAGCTGGCCACGCTCAAGAACTGGGTGTCCAGTGTTATTCTGGCCTTCTGGGGAGGTTCCCACAGAATCTGGCACATGGGCACTGGGATCAGAGGCACAGGTGTCATCAGAGACGCTGAGTCCATCTAGGGTGCTGCCTGAGGAGCAGAGACCATCTGGGAACTCTTCTACTTTGGATTTAGGGAGGTGGATTGGGGCCTCTGGCAAGGCCTGCAGGGGCTCAGCTTTCTGACCCTGAGGGTCCTGCCTGATCCAGGTTTGGGGGTTGGAGCCAGCCTGCTTATACGGGGAGGAGGTCTGCAGGGCCGGGCACTGGCTGAAGACTGCCTGATGGTCCAGAAGCAGATCCCGAGGGGAGGCTGGGGCTTGTGCGTGCCGGTGGCAGCAGCTGCCATCATGCAGTTGAAGATCTTCAGAGAGTATGGAAGGCCGGTGGGACAGCTTGCTGGTGGCGGTGCTGGTGTCAAAGCTGGGGCTGCGGCGGCGTGCAAGGGGCTGCAGCTCATAATGTTCTGAGCAGGACCCAGGGCCCCCAGGGCGTCCCTTCTCCTCATCAGGCTCCTCTGTTCCAGCATCCCATGGCAGGTGGGCACAGGGCCACAGGATCTGTCCACAGTTCTTCTCTGGCCCAAAGAAACAGCACAGCGATTGGAAGAAGAAGCTGGCAAAGCCACAGCCGACAAACTTGACCATCATGATGATGATGCCCAGCTTGCGATAGAGCAGCACTGTGGAAGGCAGCATGAGTACACCAGAGGCAAACAGAGCTGCAGTCGCCATAGCTGTGGCTCGGCTGGTCTGGCGCAGCGAGAAGGCCACGCGGCTCAGGCGGTCAGGGTGTGGGCACAAGTGATAGGAGATGCAGTAGTTGATGGTAAGGTCTACAGAGAGGCCCACAGAGGCAGCGAGAAAGAGTGACTCAGCAGTGTTGAGCTGCCACTCAAGTAAGACCAGCAATCCCACGGTGAGCAGGACGGTGCCAGCCACAGCTGCGACAGAGAACAGGCTGAGGGGGACGTTCCAGGTGCCCAGCAGCAGTGTGGCAAAGGCCAATGCCAGAGCCAGTCCCAGGACCACAGCAGGTTCGGTGCTCAGGCTGTGCTGCAGGCTGTACAGCTCCAGGGTGCTGGTGAACCAACCCTTGCCGAGGCCTGGAGGCGCCTTGCCCATCTCGGTTGTCAGCCAGCGGCTGATCTCAGTGTAGAAGTGGTGGACCGGGCCGTACTCTAGACTGTACTGGAAGTTGGTCTGAAACTGCAGGACGAGGGCAGCCAGGTTGCCATGGGCATCAAAGCGGAGTCCCAGGTCGCGGGTACCATCAGGGCTTTGCTCCAGAGCCATCATCTTGAGGCAGTGCAGGTAAAGCTGGGGGGCCCAGGGAAAGTCTGACTGGCCACAACATATGTCAGCACCGAGGCGGGAACAGCTGGGGCTCTCCATCCATTGCTGGAGGGCTTCCACGAAGCACAGTGTGGGCCAACCCTCTGGCTGGGGGCCAAAGAAGCTCTGATTCCGAGCTCCATGGCAGAGAGTCAGGAGCCACTCTTGGGCCTCGGGGCTGCTGGCTGAGAAGTCAGGATCACTCACCACTGAGCTGTTGGTGCGAGGGTCCAAGGGATCACTAGTGTCCACTGGCAGGACTCCCCACACCAGAACCACTGGCAAGTTGCCGCCCTCATTTGGAAGCAGATCCTCGAACAGGAACTGCTGGCGGTACTCGGCATCAAAGCGCTCAAAGGGGTGGCTAGACCGGAAGACCTGGCCTCCAAGAGGGAGCAGGATGGGCAGCTGCAGGCGGGGGCTGACGCCGCCGATGTAGGCGCCCCCTGCCGCCAACGCCGCGAACCAGCAGATCCAGATGTACCGAAACTTAATGACGCCGCAGGGCAGCAAGCGCTGGAAGAGCAGGCGCGAGAGGATGGCAATAATCCTCCGAAGGCCGCGGATCTTCCGGTGCAACGCCAGCAATAGCCGCCAGGGGTCGCTGACGCCCCTCTGGCCCGGGGCCCGGGGAACACAGCCGCGGGCCAGGTAGCGCTCCTGGATCACTGCGCAGGCGGGCAGCCAGACCAGCGTGAGCCCAGTGTGCACTAGCACAGCCGTGCCGGTGAAAAGAGCGAAGCAGCGCACGGTCGGCAGGCGGCTAAGGTAGCTGCCATAGTAGGCCGCCCCGGTGGTGAGGCCCGAGACCAGCAACAGGTAGCCAAAGTGGTGCATGGTGCGGCCCACCCGGTGCGCTAGCCCCCCAGAGGGCACCTGGCTCCTGCTGAGGCGCCACAGGTCGAAGAAGATAAGGGTGTGATTGACACAGACGCCACTAAGCAGAAGGAGGGCTGCTAGATTGACAAAGGGGAAGTAGGTCATGCGGAAGGCCACATGGTAAAGAAAGAAGGCCACCATTAGGGAGCCAAGCACCCCCAGCAACGCCATGAATGTGATGAAGAGGGAGCGGAGGTAGAGGGACATGCCGAAGAAGATGGTAACCAGGGCCATCAAGGGGTACATCGTATCCTCGGCCAGGTAGTACTTCAGCAATCTCGGCTTGAGGCCCAAGTCCATGCCACTGATAGACGTATAGTTGTCAGAGACCTTAATTGGGTCAACTAGGCCATCCAGGTATATGTCTAGCATGGAGGCAGTCTTAATAATGGGCAGGAAGAGCAAGCCGAACTTGAGGGAGGGTACCTGGTAGTCAGCGGTTTGGGGACTCAGAAAATCTCTGTCTAGCAGATAGTGGAGGAGCTGATAGACTGCGCTACTCCGGGTGCACTTGGTGGGAACCTGGGCACAATATGGGGGCTTGCCCTGCCCAGATCCCACACAAGCGGGTACCAAGACACCACGATGGTAGTAGGGGGCACAGAACCGAAGCAGGGCCAGTGTGCGGTCTGCATCAGCTTGGGTAGTGTCCAGGCAGGAGGAGCGGTTGGACAGCACAGCCAGATAGTTGCCCAGGGACCAGCTGGGACAGCACTCATTGGCTGCCGACCTCTGGCACAGAGCCCCAAAGCTGATATGAGAGCGGATCTGTAGGGCACACAGGGGAAAGAGCTCAGGGGTGGTTCAGGAGCCCAGGTCTCCCCAGCCCTGTCCTGGGGCCCTCTCACATCCTTTTAGGCTACAGGGCAGAGAGGAAGTGCCTTAACAGCCCGTCAAAACCCACCGATCTCAGACCTGCCTTTGGCTCCTGGCCTTGGTGGTAGTAGCTACAACTTGATTCCATCAAAGAAGAACCTCAGGGACATGGCCCCAGGCCTCAACCAGAGGCTTAGCCAGAAGGGCCCCTATAGGTCACAGATCCCTGTTCTGCACTGCCTGTGTCAGGAGTGGGGGTAGAGGTGACTGCAACATATAGAACAGGGCCAAGAGAGCAGGGAACTGGAAGCAAGCAATGGGAAATATTCCAGGATCAGGGTTCCTGACAAACCCCAGCGCCTCCTCTCTCCTTGGATTTCTTAAAGTCTCTTAGGGTCAGAGCACTTTCTTTTCCTCACTGTTCTTTTCCTCCTTTTCTCTCTACCTTGCTGTTTGACATCACAACAGCTGCTGTCATACAGACAACTCCCATTGGAAGTCAGAAGCCCTGCTCTGCCACCAACTCACTGCACAGCCTTAAGGCTCAGCTCACAGTGATGGCAATGGTTAAGAGTTATTGAACCATAACTAATGCCAGCTAGATTCTTTTGATTGTCACAATATTCATATAAAGGAAGTACTATTCTCCTTATTTAAATATATATGGGGCTGAGGATGTAGCTCAGTGGTAGAGCACATACTTAGTACAGACAAGGGTCTAGGTTTGATCCCCAGCACCACAAAACAAAACAAAACAAAAACAAAAACAAAAACAAAAAAACACATATGAGGCATTAAGAGATTAAGAAGCCATGCAACAAGGGAGCTTTAGAGCCAGCCTTGAACTCTGGCACCTGACTGTAGAACTCATATTCTTAACCAGTGACTTCTGGTTCTCTGGCTATTCTGTGGGCCATGGGGTCAGGCTACAGAGAGATTTTCACACTGTTTTTAGCAGCAACACAGATGTGATTGTATGTGGTTCTCCTGTTAGCATAATTGGATTGGCACTGCTTGGGTTGACAAGGGCTGGAGCCTTGAAGCCCGCTGTCTCAGCTCCCAGGGTCAGGGTCTCCTCAGCACCTTTTAAGACCCCTTTCAAAACCTTTTTAAAATCCTCAGGCTCTGCTTGAGCTCTCTCTTGTAGCAGCCATGGCTCAGCGCTTCTAAAATCAGTCAACTCTTCTTTTCCCCTCCCAACCCAGAGCTTTCCATCAGGGTTGGAATAATTTTCAAAGTGGGAAAGAGCTTTTCCCCAGTCCACCCTGGCAATCCTGGCTCAGTTGTATTGCATTGGGATCACGTCCTTTGTGTCCTCAGTTCCCTCCCAAGACCCTGGCATCTCCCCAGCCAGCTCACCTGCTCCTGTTCTATGCGACACATGGACTGGATGGCTTGCAGATTCCACAGGCTGCCCCCAGAAGTGGACACGAACACCAGCTTTGCATGACTCTTCTCTGTAACACAACCCCATAAGTTCAGCCTTTTGGCCCCAGGTCCTGGGCCCACCAAAGAGGTTCACCCAAAGGCTACCTGAAGGTTCCATTCCTAGGAGCCTCAAGCCTGTGCCTGACTGCCTAATCCTGCCCAACATTCACCCAGCTTGACCCCACCTGACTGGAGCACTTGAGACCTATTTCATGATTCCTTCTTTCTTGGCTTGAATGTAGGTAGTGGCCATTTTCTCTTTCTATCTGCCCACGCTTGTTCTGGGCCTGCTCATCCTGTTAGGTGGAATGGAGACCATCATTGAAGCTAGGACTTGCCATGCTGCAGCTTACCAGGAGGGCCACAGAAGAAGTTCTCCTCTTCCTTATCTTCCACGGGCTCTACCATCCTCTTGGTCCGGACCACACTCTCCTCAGGCCTGCCCCAGGCTGCAGGACTCAGAGTACTGTGCAAGTTTGAGCTGAAGTAGAGAGAATATGCCAGGACACAGTTTGGAGTTGTGAACTCACAGGAAGCCAGAGACCACTCCCCTAGGGGGCACCAGTTACCTCCTCTGACATGCCTTTGGAGAGGTCACCCAGTGTCCCCTCCTAGAGACCTTCTTCCTCCCTCTGCCACCCTCAGTGGGAAGAAGGGAGCCTGTTACCTGTTGATATCAGGGTCTGGGGAAAGGGAAAGCAGATTCTTGGGGCCTGTAAGGGCCTGCAGTGCCTTCCAGACTTCTAGCTTTCGTCCAACTTCTGTGTCCCGAGGCTCAAAGCCCTGCAGGGAGGAGAGCAGAGAGGAGAAAGTGGGCAGAGGAGACAGGATGCCCTTCCTCTGGGCCCTTCCTAGCTTTGCTCCTTTGGTTCCCTCCTACCTGGATTGTGGACATATGACCTCTACACCATCTCTACAGCTCTCTGGAGATCAAGGGCTCACCAAAGCTACCCTACCCACCCCCCACCCCAGCTGGGTCAACTGTCTGCCTCAGACTGAGCTGCACCATCCAGGCCAGGGGGCTTTCTCCCTCCCCATGGCCTCTCACCAGTAAAGGTTCAGAAAAGTCAGGCGTCGGGCTTCCCAACATCCCAGCCAGGGTGCAGAGGAGGATGAAAGCCACACACAACAGCAGCACAGCCCCTGGCCACTCAGCAATCAGCTGGGAATAGCTGGAAAAGAGGGAGGGAGCCAACATGAGTATCAATGAGTACCATGAGTGTTGGTAGCAGCTGATGAGCTGGGGTCACAGAGCAGACAGCACATGGAGAGGGCACCAGCCTGGCCACTCCTAGAAGTTCAGGGGAGGCCTAGGCCTACCTCTTTGGCATCCGGAAAGTACGCTCCTGCCTGTGGGAGAAGAAAAGACATTTACTACAGTCTTCTTCTGGTGTGTGTGTGTGCCTGGTAGGGAGGAGGGGAGTGAGTATACACTGGGTGGGGAGGGTGTGGGTGAAAGAAGGTGGGAGCATAGAGCAAGATGGTATTAACTCTTTTAGAGTTTCCCACCCCCAAGTTCCATGTTTTCTTCCTCCTCCATGCAAGCTGCCTCCTGAATCAGAGGCAGGAACAGTCAGACTGCTTCTTAGAAAAGGAATCCAGAGTTCCTGAGGTCTGCCTTACCTTCCCATGGCAGTTAGCAAGTTTTCAGGGCCCCTCCTTACCTGACACTGACCACATGGCGCTGCACAGAAGGTGGCTTCCAGACCCCATCATGCTGTGAGGGGTCTATAGAAGTGCTGACGTTGGAGACATGGGCACATAGAGCTGCTTGGTCTCCCGGTCCTAGTAGAGAGCTTCCTTCTTGATATTCTTGCGGAGCTCGAGGAAAGGCAAAATGGCCAGCCGCTAAAGGACTGGTTGGATCTACAGTCTGGAGAGTAGAGACTGTTGGTGCAGGCACAGTGCCCGTAGGGTCCTCAAGGGGACAGGTGTGAAGGGAGCAGCTTCTCTCTGGGCTTGCCTCTGGGGCCATGGCGTTGACCTGAGACCTGAGAGAGGGCAGGCAGGGAAGACAGCGGTTGGGGACGGTCGTGGGTTCTATGTCCCAGAATTGTTCAGTAAGCAAGACAAGGAGACAGGAGCCCAGGATTGTTTTATTACTGGTCCTCAGAAGAGGTGAGAGGGGTGGGAATGCAGAGCTTGCATCTTGCTGCCCATGCTGTCACTCATCCATCCATGAATTCAAAAGATAATCATTGGCAGGCTGCCAATGACAGACACTGCTTGACACCTGATGTGTTCTGCATACATGATCTTATTTACTCCTTTAAAAAAAAATAACTCATAGAGGAAACATTTCCTTGTTTTATAGGTTTGAAAATAGATTCAATGAGAGGTAAAGATCAGACTTTTGAACCTGTTCAAGTTCTGACTTGTAGACCATTATGTTATGGTTGTCTGTTTAATTTTCTTGACAGACATCTTGACATCTTTTTTTTTTTTTGGTCTTTTTGAGACAGGGTCTCCCTGTAGCCCCAGCTGGCCTGGAACTTGATATGCAGACCAGGCTGGCCTCCATCTCACAGAGATCTGCTAGCCTCTGCCTCCTAAGTGCTCGGATTAAAGGTGTGCACCACCACACTCAGCTAGCATCTGTTTCACTCTTATTCCCATATAGAACCTTTGAGAATCCTCTTCCCTCTGCCAGGTCGCTCCACCCCAGACAATTGTGGGTGGGTGTGTCCATTGCTCCCTTTCCCCTCCTCCCTTTTCACCTCTTCCTCTCTTTGTCTCTGCCCCTTCTCCTCCCTTTCCCTCCTCCCCTTTCCCCTCCTATTCTCTCCTCCCCTCCTCTTCCCTCTCTTCCCTTTTCTCCTGGCTCCTCCCCTCCTCTCCTTTTCTCTCCTCCTCTTTCCTGTCTTCTTTCCCCTCCCCTTCTCTCCTCCGCTTCCCTCCCCCTTTCCCCTTCCTCTCCCTTCTCTTTCCCCTCCTCCTCTCCCCCTCCTCCCTTTTCCCCATTCCTGTCTCTGCCCCCTCCTCTCCTTTTCTTTCCTCTTTCCCTCTTCTTCTCTCCTCCCCTCTTCTCCCCTTCCCTCTCCTTGTCCCCTCCTGTCCTTTCCCTTCCCCTCCTCCTCTTCCCCTCCTCCCTTTTCCCCTATGCCCGTCTTCTCTCCTTTTCTTTCTTCTCCTCCTCTCTCTCCTCTCCTCCCCCCTTCCTTACTCCTCTCCCTTCTCTTCCGTTCCTCCCTTCTCCCCTTCTCTCTTCTCCGCCCCCCTCCCCCATGTTTTGAGATCAGGCCTCACTATGTAGCACAGCTGGCCTCCAATACAGTCTTCCTGCCTCAGCCTCTCAAATACTGAGATTATGGGCATGCTACCTACCGTGCTTGGCGGTTTACATTATTTGTATATTTATTTATTCATTTATGAGGTCCCTGGAGTTGAACTCAGGGCTTAGGCAAGTACTTTACTACCGACTAACTTCCTAGCATCCCCCATCCCTGTCTTTTTGGGGTCCTAGTTTCACTATGTAGCCCTGGCTGACTTGGAACTTGCTAAATAGACCAAACTAGCCTCAATCTCACAGAAATCCACCTGTTTTCTGCTTCCCAAATGCTGGGATTAAAGGCATGTGCCACCACACCTGTCCCCCAGCCTGTAGTCTTAAGAAAAACAATTAAAATTTATTTTTATTTATTCTTTTTAGAGAAGGTCTCATATGACCCACCCTGGTCTTGAACTTGAACGTGGCTCAGGCTAGCCTTGAACATCTGTCTAATCCTCCTGGTCCCACATCCTAAGTGCTGGGGTAACAGGTGTGCACCACCACATCTAGCTCATGGACCTTTTTCAAAGTTCTGATCTCCAATTATTGCCTCTTTAGAGAAGCCTTCCCTCATTGCTCTTCCTGGAATAATCACCCCCTCTCTGCTCTATTGCCCTGCTGGATATTTCTTCAGATATTTTTTCTGCATCTCGATATTGTATTCAATAGACTTGTTCCATCTCTCAGGTGGAATGTGAGGGCTGGGGAAGCAGGAGCCACTGCATCAATTTATCTCCAGATCCTCAGTGCCTTGAATAGTTCATTGACATAGAAGGTGGCTAGGGTTCATTCAACGGTCATTGAATGAATACAGCTCTAGACTGGCTGTCAAGAGTGATACTGTGATAAACAAGATCCAGTTCTTCTCCCTAGGAATTCACAGTAGTGAGACACTGCTGCTCTCCCACTTACCCTGTCATGGACCATGCACAGAGCAGGTTTGCTTTGTTGGTGTGAGCACAGTTTGGAGAGGGAGTTGGAACCTCCAAAGAATATAGCAGGAAGGACCCAGTGATAGATCTTCTCCCTAAATTACTCATCAGGACAACACTCTGTGCATGGGTCTAGCCCCACTCCTTGGATCTAGGGGAAGGTAGAGTCCCATATCTGTGGCAGGATTGTCATACTTGGGATAGGAAAAGATGGCCACAGAACAGACTGGCTGGAGATCATGGTGGTTCCTAGAGGAGGTCAGGGTTAGATGACTTGGCAGAGCCCTGTCTCCCTTCTGTGATCTTTACCTAGCCTACCAGAGTTTGCCTGACTCTTGTGGGAGAGCCAGTTCTAATCTGAGCTAACCCTGACTTCCAGACCTACCTGCTACACTGCTGAAGGGACCTGGGCCAGAGTCCTGGCCACAGTGGCAGATTCTGCCCACAGTGGCTGAATTCTTGAACTGGAAATAATAGGCAAACTCTGGGATGGCTGGGTCAGCAGTTTAAGAGAGAATGACCTTCATGCTGAGGGTAAATGGGTGAACAGTGGAGGTGGGCTCCTGGCTCCATCATCCTTTGGCTCTGGGCCCTTGGAAAAGAGCATTTGATGATAATATCTACCTCTCCATTTTAAAGTAGCATGTGTGATGTTCCTGGCACAGAGCTTGGTGTGTGGAAGACACACTTTCTTTCCAGCCATAGATACTGTGTGCTTTAAGAAGTATATTTGTATGTGTACTCTGCCCTTTTTAGGTAATACACCTCCATTTCAGAATTTCTTACACCTCGAGAATCTCACTACCTTAAATGCTTTTGTTGTTGTTATACAAAAGCTGCACTGACATGATTGAAATCTCTGATACCTATTTTTGTTAACTCAACATTTAGAAATATAAGAATTTGACCAAAGTTGTTCTAAGCAAGACCTGAGGTGACTCCATAAAGCTGATGACATAAGTGACAAGGGTGCTGGCAGACAGCAAATCCTGGAGGTTAATCCCTTTGGGCCAAAGAGAGAAGCTGGATAAATGCCCTGGGTCATGTGTATGCATGAGATTATCTATTATTTATTTACTTACTTATTGAGACAGGATCTCACTATATAACTCAGGCTTAAATTCACAATCCTCCCGCCTTAGCCTCCTGAGTGCTGGGGTTACAGGTGTGTGCCACCATGCCCAGGGCTGACATTAACTCAAAATTTTAAACCTGTAGTCATTTAGTCTTTCTTTTCTTTTCTTTCTTTCTTTTTTTTGAGTACCTGCATATACTAAGCACTGTGCTTGGTCTGGGTTGGCTCTTGAAGGCCTTAACATGACCAACATCAGCTCTGGTTTTCCTCTTTTTATTTATTTATTTATTCATTTATTTTTATTTTTGTTTTTGAGACAGGGTCTCCCTATAGCCCCAGCTGGTCTAGAAGTTACTATGTAGACCAGGCTGGCCTTGAACTCACAGAAATTTGCCTGCCTCTGCCTCCTGATTGCTGGGATTAAAGGCGTGCACCACCACACCCAGCTTATTTACTTTTAAATATTTTATTTATTATTTTTATTTCATGTGTATGAGTTTATTGCCCACATGTGTGTAAAATGCAGCTGTGTCAGGTAATGCCTGCAGAGGTCAGAAGAGGGAGTTGGATCCCCTGGAACTGGAGTTACAGATAGTTGTTAGCCACCATGTGGGTGCTGGGACTCAAACCCGGGTCCTCTGCAAGAGCAGCCAGTGTTCTTAACTGCTGAGCCATCTCTCCAGCCCTGGGCCTTCCTCTTTAGAGACTTTCTCCCAGAGGTTAAAAGAGTACGGCAGCCAGGGTGGAGGTGGGGGGCTTGCTCTAGTAGCCCTGGGCCTTAAATAACTGGGTCCTCACTTGGAGTATCAGTTTCTTTGTAATAGAAGAAGCCAGCCACTGGGGTGTCACTGGAGAATGGAGCCCTCTCCTGGCTAAACCCCATGAATTTATCCTTTAGTCGGTTTCTGTTTAAGGGATCAAGCCTCCATCATTAGTTTGCATTCCCTGGGGCTTCCACAGTCCCAACTCCCTCCCTCCAGCCCCTTCTATTCCTCTTCAGGGACCTAAGATCAGCTATTCCTAATCTTATCCTCTTGACTCTGCCAACCATTATTATCAATGTGGAGAATCTGAAACCCTTCAGTCTCACTGCTGTAGAACTGGGGCTTTTTCTTATCTCCCCAAGGAGAAGAGCCAAATTCTGCTCCTCAGAATAAAATATTTCTTCTGCCATCTCCTACTGCCTCCTGCTCTTGGGAGACCCAGTAACCATCAGAGTTATTAAGCACAATATTCCTCTCTTCTCCACGGAGTTTTCATTTTCACCTTCAGTTCATGTCTCTAACTGGGATGAGTAACAGCTGGGCAGCCTGCCTGGACCCCAGGCATATAAGCCAAGTCACTGGCAGGCAGAGATTGAGGTGGAAAAGGGTGAGTTCTGACCTCACACAGGAGGTCACCATTTTAGCAATTAGGGCCAGGGGCTGACAGGGCTTCGGACACAGAGCCCCAAGTTGGGAGCTCCAGAAGGGGCAAATGTGTATGAATATTAACTTTGCCCTGATCTCACAGAGCAGTCATCTTGATATCGTGATTCCACAGAGTGACCAGGACAGAAGAGGGGAGTGGCTCATACCATTAGGCATGAAAGTCCTGCCTGTAATCTCAGCTATGTAGGAGACCGAGGCAGGAGACCAGATGATCCAGGAGTTTCAGCCCTCTCTTCCTCTCTCTCTCTCTCTCTCTCTCTCTCTCTCTCTCTCTCTCTCTCAGACAGGGTCTCTTGATATATAGCCTCAGCCTCCCAAATGCTGGGATTACATGGCCTCAAACTAGCTCTGTAACTGAGGAAGGCCTTGACTTCCTATACTCCTGTCAAGCCTCCTGAGTGCTGGGGTTATAGGTATTTCCCCCACACCTGCCTTTTTATTTTTAGTTTTTTTCAGATAGGGTCTTTCTCTGCAGCCTAGCTGAAGATGTAGAGGTAGGGACTAGAGGGAGGGGCTCAGGAGGCCAAGAGAAGGAGGAAACCAAGACCTATGTAGCTCAGGATAGCCTTGAACTTGTCCTTCTCCTGTTTCAACCACCCAAATGCTGGTATTACAGGTGTGTGTCACTTGTGTGTGACCAGGCTTGACTTAAAATCTGCCTCCTCAAAAAAATTCTGGGGGTGAGGGCGGGCACGAGGATGGAGTTCAGTAGCGGAAAGTGTGTTTTGCATACATAAGGCTCTGGGTTTAATCCTTAGCACTGAAGGGAAAAAAGACTGGTGGCTCTGTGTGTGTGTGAGTGTGTGTGTGTGTGTGTGTGTGTGTGTGTGTATGTGTGTGTGTGCAGCTTTGTGTGTGTGCAGGGTAGTGTGTGGATGTGTATGTGTATTCTCTGTGTGAGTGTGTGTATCTGTGTATGTGTGGTGTAGTGTGTATATGTGTATCTCTTTGTGAGTGTGTGTGCATCTCTGTGTGAGTGTGTGTGTGTGTGTGTATAGTCTTATACATGCTGTATCTATTCCCAGGGCGTTACTTTTTTCAGCAGGAGCATATTTTTATTAAATTGAACAATCTTTATGTCTGCGTAGTATCCATGGTCTCTGGGGGAACTGCAGAGAGAGGCCAGAGGTTTCGGAGAATGGCTGGAAAAGAACAAGTGGTTCTCATGCCCAAGAGAAAAAAAGCAGACCAGACAGGGCTGATCCTTGGCAAGATATACCAGACAGCCAATGACGCTGTAGCCCCTTGTTCTGATGCTTCTGGCCGTGAGCCCTGCCCTGATTTGTTACTGCTTCATCCCCCTCCCTCCCCCCCTTTTTTTGCAGTGGCTAGAGATGGAACCTAAGGCCTTGCCAATGCTAGGTAAATGCTGTATCACTGAGCTTCAGCCCCCAGCCCCATCCCTATCTTCTTTTGGTTAGGCTGTAGTTCCAAGCAGGCTATATATTCACTGGTCTGGGAATACCTGCATCCTGTGTCTTACCCTCCTGAAGATTTTATACCTTCCAGATTGATGAATTAATAATAGAGGGAAGGAAATATTTGTTCCCACTTGTAGGACTTTCTCTTCTCTCTGAGAAACAGAATATACATTTTAACCCTGTAGTCTGGAGACAATATGCCAGTCTCTTTTTCTTTTTTGCCCTGAAGAATGCCTTTTATTTCAGTCCACACAGGAGAGGGAGGCCATGTCATGTCTGAGGAGAGATTGTGGGGGTGGCAGTTAGGCAGGGCACAGAAATTGCGCCATATTGCTACCTGGCTGGACTGTTCCACCACACACATGGTGGAGGAAGAAAGAGGAAAGGCACCCAGATTTTGGGATGGGTGCTCAGCAGGAGGGTGTTTTTCCTGCCCTGTCAGTCTGGGCTCCTTTAGGGGTCATATAGACCACCAACTGAGCCTCAGGGCCTGCGTACATGTGGCTTCAGTGAGTGCTAATGTCTGCCACACACAGGGACTAAAACCAATATGTACACAAGCAGGCGACCATGCAAGGGAGGCAAACAACGATGTGATGGGCAGCCAAGCACCTGATGGCGATGGGCAGACAAACAACTGAAGGTGATGGACAAAGACAGCCCCTGACGTAGATGCCAAATGTCTGCCCTCCCTCCCCAGGACACCCGCTTTGGCGAGCCTCTTTTTCTCAGTACATGAACACCCCCGTGCACACTGACATGCAGACTGACGGGGCTGCGGTCTCGAGGCCTTCTGCAAAGATGCAGAGGCCTAGAAGGAGAGGCTCTGGGGCCAGGAAAAGGGGCATCGGCGGCCTTAGAGAAAGGTGGGAACGGTGGGTGGGGCAGGTCCCCCAGGGGGTGAAAGCAATGAGAGCTGTCATTAGCCGGTGTTGATGAGCAAGTAAATTCAGCAGGCTGAATAGGGGTCCCCGACCTACACGCCCGGGAAGAGGGTCTGAGAGGGGCTGAGGAATGAAATGAGGTGATGTATGGCGGCGGCTATTTGAGGATACCTGATGCAGGCGTGCTGAGAAGATGTTCCAGCCGGATCTGCGGAGAGGTCCTTCCTACCGGCCCCGGCAGCTGTCTTCTGGGGCTAATGTTCTCCCCTCAGGCCGCTCTCGCCTTTCAGACGCCGACCAGAAGACAGGTTGCTGCAGCAGCTGCAGCTGCTACCTCCGTCCATGCCCGTGGGCGGCGCCGCTGTCCGGGTTCTGGTGCTGAAGCAGCAGCAGCGGTGGACTAGTGCGCATGCGTCAGAATCAGAGGCCAGTCTCTGGGCGGGGCCGGAGAGGAATCCAGCCAATGGGCGCAGGGCAGGGAAGGGGGAGGGGAGACAAGGACACTGGCTGGCTGCGGCGCCGCAGTCCAGGACTGGGGGGGTTCACTGTCATTAAGGCTGCGGGCTGCAGTGCAGGCCTCTCTACCCTGGCCAGATCTGACCACTACTCTTATGAATACAACCGACTGGCCCCTCCTGGGCGCCTCGGTCTCCTCATAAGGAAGTAGGGAAAACGACCTGTGCAAAAATCCTCACAAGATGAAACGCGGGCTTCCCTGTCTGCAGCCCCTAGGCGTTGGAGCCAAGACTAGGTTTTTTGAAGTGCGCAACAAGGGGAGGAGAGAGGGGAGGAGAGCGGCTCAGAGAAATGCCCAGCCCCCTTTCATACAGTCACCACCATTCCCCACCTCAACCTTACAGGGACCTGACAGCAATTCCGGAGCACCTGCCAGACCCCCATCTGAGATGGGTGGACAGGCCTGGCTAGAGCTCTATCGCAGAATTACAGTGGATACCAGCAGTGTGAAAAACCTGAGTGCAGGGGAGTAAAGAGGAAAGAGTCCTGGATAGATTTGGATAGGCAAAAGGGGTCTCATAGCAAGCCGGCTGTTCTGGGCCTGTCTGTGTGTGCCTGGCAGTGCCTGATTGAAAGCATGAGGCTGTGGAGTCTGACTCAAGAGGGTTTAGTTGGAAGAATTCCTTTAAATATGTACAAGTGCTGGTCTATGCATGGCTCAGGATATAGGGGATGGGTTGAGGGAATCTAGAGGTTTACATGTGCTTTGAGTAGCTTACAGTTGGTTGGAGAGATAAAAGGCAGTCCTAAATTGGTGCCAGCTGGGCAGACTGTGACTAGGTATGTGAGGTGACTGATATCATCTCTGCTCTGCAGCTTGTGGCAGAGAAGGGTCAGGGTCCAAAGACAGAAGATGTCTTTCTTCCTATTAGGCTTGGGGAAAACTGCCTGGAGACAGTGGGGCTGCAGCTGGCTTAAAACTGTGGAAGTGGGAAAGAGAAAGGACACTCCTCATATGGGGTGGGAATTAGGGAACTGCAACAAAAGTTTAGGAGGTTGGAAGTTCAGTGCATTTTCAGGGAATGGTGAGAAACCATCTGGACAATAGGAAGCTGTTGAAGGCCCATTATATCTGGGTGTACAGGATGGAGTAGAGGTGATATAGCCATGTTTGAGGGCCCTTGATGAGATGGGGCAGAACTGAAAAGAGGATCTTAAACAGTCCTGTGTTGTGGGCACCAGAGTCAAGCTTCTGAAATTGCCAAGATGGATGCCCTGTTTTCACAAGGAAACTTAGATACACCTGGGCCCTAAGGGCCAGCTTAGATGTGAAAGAATACAGGCTTTAGAAGAATAGCATGGTCTCCAAGAGGTTCTTTATTAGGAACAGAAGATTCTGGTTCAGGTCCAGTGCCAGTTCAATGGGGAAATCCACACAGACCCTCATCTTGTGTCCTATTTTCTTCTGAATCCTCAGTGATGTCCAGGGGGATGCCCACCGTGCCCTGGGCCATGGCCAGGGGGTGGCCCACCAGGTCCTGGAGGATGTTTTCCCTTGGGACAGTGCCCTGGGCCATGGCCAGGAGGTGGCCCACCAGGTCCTGGAGGATGTTTTCCCCCAGGACAGTGCTCTGGGCCATGGCCAGGAGGTGGCCCACCAGGTCCTGGAGGATGTTTTCCCCCAGGACCATGACCAGGGGGTGGCATACCATGAGGAGGATGACCCTGTGCAAAAGAGCAATGTTAGAGGCTAAGGCCAGTCTCAACCCACTTGTAATCAACTCTTATTCCCCTCTCCTCCCCAATGTACTCAGGATCCCTGGCATCTTTAAGGGGTTGTGGTAGGAGGCTGGGCAGAAGAGATACCAAGGAACCACTCCTAGCTCTGGGCCCTTTGCTGTGTTGAAGTCCCTTAAGCGCTAAGCAGGCAATAGGGGAGGAGTCTAGATGTGTTAGTTTTCCTTTTGCAGAGTTGTGACTTCAGTTCCTGGACTTTGGGCTATTTTACTTGTAAGAAGCAGAATTCTCTTATATCCCCTTTCCCTTTTCCCTTTCCAAGGACTCCTACCAGAATGGTTAGTTCTGTCTTGTTAGAAATGCAAGCTCTTTACTTAGAAGCAAGGTGAAGCTCAGGAGACTCGAGAACTCCTTAGGGCAAGGCAGAGGGAAATCCAGGCTCCAAGGAGAAGGGAGAGAGCAGTGGTAGACAAGAGATCAAAGGTAGGAAGTAGATGGTAAGAATGTGCTTGTGTATAAACAGGAAATGTACTAAATTTATATATAAATAGCTATGGTTGCCGGGTGTTGTGGTGTACGCCTTTAATCCCAGTACTCAGGAGGCAAAGGCAGGTGGATCTCTGTGAGTTAGAGGCCAGCTTGGTCTACATAGTGAGTTCCAGACCAGTCAGAGCTATACTGTAAGGCCTGGTCTAAAATTAACATAGAAATAATAAAAGCAATGGCTGGGAATGGAGCTTGGTTGTAGGGGATCTGTCCAGCAAATGCAAACCCAGCACTGTAAAAAGTGAAAATACAACCAAATAGCTATGCCTAGGTACATGAGCATGTGTGGCTGCATATACCTGCACACATGTATACACAGACACATGCATGGGGTGCCTGGGGTATGAGCCTATGATGCCTCTGAGCAGGTGCCAGACCTAAACAATCAGGAATAATAGAAAGTAAAGTCAAACTTTATTTCTAAGACCCAAGAGGCCTGGGAAGTGTTGTTAAACTTCTCTTGGCTGGAATCACTCCCAAGGCCCAAAGGCCAGGAAGTTTTGTCTCTTGCTATAGGTTGGAGGAAGAGCTGTCACCTTGCTTCTGTGCCAGGGCACTAGGTCTGAGGCCCTGTGGAGCAGAGGTGGGGCTATGCCACCCACTCTTGAGACTGAGATAGCTCCTTACTCTGTTTCTGCCTCCCAATAGTTTGGTTAGGGTAGAATAAGCATGGAAAAGACAGGTTCCAGAATAGGGTGAGGGTGTTGTTTTTGTGACCCTATTACAGCAGTCCCTGCTTGGTCCAGACTCAGTGATATGTGGAAACAGCCACTTCCCACCTCACTCATCTCTCCTTCTATGGCTTTTTCTGTGGTGGAGCCACAGATCCAAGCCAGGGAACTGGTTTCCTGGTGTTGGATGGGATGGTGGGGAGGAGGCAGCCTCCCTTCCTTCCCCAGCAGAAACCTGTCCTAGAGGTCCTGCAGTGTGGCTGGGGCTTGGGAGTAAGCCAGCCATCTGGCAAGGCTGTGAGGGTAGACAGGAAAGCAAAGACACACAGAACAGGCGGGCAAACAGCAGGAGAGAGGATGGGCTGCTGGGGCAGGGAGGGGAAGTGCGGAAAGGAGAGAGACAGATGGGAAAACAGAGGAAAGAATGCCAAGGAAGAAGGCTGCAGTTGGTGGGGGTGGGTGGATGTGGCAGTACACCCCCACAGGCTGCTGTCAGAGTCTAATCCCAACTTTTCATTCGACAGAAGTGCTGGTCCAGGAAGGAGGTGAGAGGTCTGAAAGACTCAGTCATGAGAACCCAAAGGGAAGAGGGCTCAGCAACATTCCTACCTTGTGACCTGTGGGAGAGGAAGGGAAAAGAAACAGAGACTTCAGTTTTGCTGCTAGTTCTGTGTCATTCCCCCCACACACACCCTACCCCTATGTCTAGCAAGGCTCCTCAGACCTGGCCACCTGCCTGACAATCATTCCTTCATTCATCCACTAACAACAGATTCATATTGAAAGTCAATACTAAGCTCACTTGTGCATCCCTGTGGGCTCAAGAGCTGGCAGAGTCTCCTGGGTGGCACAGGGCCAGTCAGGAGGTTAAGGTTTTGTCAGCATTCTGTCAGTGGTCTACCTTCCTAAAGTCGGTCACATTTCATACACTAGGAAGGCACTCCTCTGTGGTAAACCCCAATTCTTCCTCTTCTACCTCCACCTGGGTCCTGGCCAGTCTCCCCCATTCATTCCTGCACATCTTACTTATAGTCACTGCTCAGTCCCTCAGAACTGCATATAACTTGTTAGTTTGTTGGCTTCTGCACATAACTTTGTTATAACCTTTTGGTTTCAGCTCTGGCCCTTTGTTCATGCCTCCTGGCACTTAGAAATCTCTAGCTTCATGCTGCCTTGCTTTCGTATAGGAATTCTGTATCACTGGAATGTCTAGCTCCCCACTGTGGGTACAGTGGCTCCTTCTGCAGAAGTTACCTGTATGGTCCTAGGTATCCTGCACGGTAGCCTTTGGTAGGAATTGACTGCTAGTTCATTTGCACCTTTTGAAGGAAGCCAATGCCTGGGGATGGACTCTGTGCTCCTTACCTGGCTATGCTTTTTGTTCTCACCCTGAGCATGACCCCTGACTTTCCTGGGTTTCATGTGTACAATGGAGAGGCACCTGTACATTTTTCTCCTCAAGTTGAAGAGCTAGTGAGCTGAGGGATCTGTGAAGATGTTTCTTAAAGTATACAGTGTTCTAAAGAATAGAAAAGCTTGCTTACAGCTATGCATAGTGGCACACGCCTTTAATCCCAGCACTTGGGAGGTGGAGGCAGGCAGATCTCTGTGAGTTCAAGGCCAGCCTGATTTACATAGTGAGTTCGAGGTCAGCTGGGGCTACAGGGAGACCCTGTCTCAAAAACACACACATACACAAAACCTGCTTGCATTTTGAAATGCTACATACATACATATATATCACATACATACACACATATATATACAGATGCACATTTGACATCCAGTAGATAATGGTTTGATTGCCCCTCGCTTTCTACTCTCCTTCCTTTTCTTCCTTTCCCTCTTCCCTCTTCCACCACTTAGCCTCCCAGTCATGCCACTTACCTGGATCCATCTTTATGGGGCCAAAGCAGGAATACCTGTGTGTTCAACAGATAAAGCCTTAGCTTATAGTGATCTAAACTTCAGTCTCTTCTTCCTTCCTGGGGATGCCCACAAACATAGCCCCTTCAAAGAATGAAAGGAGAAAGGATGCTCCTTCTGGCCTAGTTTGTCATCCAGTGTGAAGCTAGCACCCTGGGTGCTGGTCCATGTATTCTATGGACATATGGGTTCACTCACATGAGGAGAGAACAGAGATGAGATGTACCCGACCATGAACTCCACACTCTTATACCTGACCCCACTATCAGATCTACCCTGGACTCGTAATCATGTGTAATTTAATCCCATTTTGATCAGTTTCAATCATGTTAATTATTCATGTTGAGTGTCTTCTATGTGCCATGGTGGTGGGTACCCATGTCCCTATAGGTCTCTGTACTCATACCTGGCATAGAGATTGGATGGAGATGCTTGGAGAATGGGGATGAGGGTGAGGGCAGGATAGTGGGTAGGGCTTCTGGGACCCAGGGGACCTTAAGATCTTTATTTCTACAGTACAAATGAATGGACAGGGCCCTCACTGCTTGTTACTGTTTCCTCCACTAGGATTGGAAGAGGGTGGGAGGTTTGAGGTCTGAGCCAATTCACTAATAAGCCATGCTCTCTCTCATCAGGTGGAGCTGATGAGATCTGGCCTCATCTTTTGGGGGCTAGCATGCAAATCACAATCGACAAACCCAGAATGGATCAACCCAACCACAGTACAGTTGAGGACTAAAGGCAGCAGGACTGTCTCTACTCATATGGCAGCTGAACACATGAGCACAAATGTTCACACACACACACACACACACACACACACACACACACCTCTGACACAAAAGGCCCAGAGCTGCTGATGACATCTAGAGCCTTGTACATGCAAAACAGGCTCTCTACCACTGAGCTACACCCCAGTCCCACCAAGCTACCTGCTTCTATTGGCTTCTACATATACCCCAAATTTCAGTTGAAGTCAGCCCCCAAATTATGCCCATGGTTTTTCTTGTTCTCTACTCTTTCCCTTTATCTAATGATGGGTCTGGAAAAGTCTCCTGAGGCTGGACTTGGAGATATAGAAGGGATGGTAAAAGAAACCTTAGAGCCAGTCAAGACATGAGTTAAAAGCAGGAGAAAAGACAGCAAGACAGTACTTGGAATATGTCTTTTCAGTTCAAGACTAGCTATTTGCGGAATGGGAATTGTCAGCTTTAGAAGGGACCTGAAGTATAACCTCATAACCCTCAGGTGACCCCTGTATCTGGCATGATGGAGGCTCTACATCAATTTTAACTCCTGTAGAGTGGAGCTGCAGGGGCCAGCCTGGAAACTGGGAGGGTAAGTGGGCATACATGCATGAAAATACACAGCCATCTGGCACAGACACACTGTCTATGAGAAACAGACCAACACAGGCAGACAGGCAGCACCCTCATAAAGACCCAAAGCGTAGAAGCCAGTTCAATGCACATATACACATATTCAAAGAGACCAGGACCACACAGGCACCCCACTTTCTCTCACAGAGACCTCCTTTCCCAGTGCTCAGCAGCAGAGCTTCATCTTACCTGACAATGCAGAACAGGCAGGGGAAGGCTGAGGCTCTGTCTGCCCAAGGGACTATTTATACAAGACCAGGAGGGGCTGGATCTGGCTAGATGCACTGGGAGTGTCAGGGGCAAAGAGTACAGGAAATGAGGAGGGATGGGCTAATCTTTACCTGTGTGAAGAGTAGCTGGAAGCAGGATTTGGGGGAGGGGAACAGGAGAGCGGGGAATATTTGTAGAACCAGATGCCAGGTCACGTGTGAGGGCTTCACAAGTGCTAACCCACTGACTGCAAGCTAGACATGGTGGTCATCTCCTCCCAGAATGTGGAGGTGCAGAAGTGATCCCAGACAAAGATCTGGTAGCATCCTTGCCCTGGGTGTGGCTAGGCCCCAGACCCAAGTTCTCAAATTCTGCCCAGCCCAGTGCTAGTCTAGGAACAGAAATCCCACAAAGAAAAGGAGACTTTGGGAATGGGATCTGGATGAGGCAAAAGCAAAGAAAGATTTTGGAACTTGGGCTGCTAGTTTGCTCTGCTTCTGGCAAACCCTTTGTGGGCTGTCCCATTGAGCCCTGTGGCATCTGATGCATGCCTCAGTGCCTTGCTTGGCATGCACCCTCAGAAGGCCCCTGGTACAAGCTTTCTACCTCCCAGGATCCTTTCTTCTAGTGCTTCTTGTTCCCACTGGTCTCAACCCTCTCAGATTAGGGGACAAGGTGGCCCTTGACAGCTTTCCTGGTACTAGCAAGAGCCCAGCAAATTTGGTCAATGAATTTTGATGAATTTGCTGGAGTTAGCTGTTGAATAGTAACTGACTTCCTTTTCTGTGGTTTATATTTACTTATATTTTCTTTCTTGCTTGTTTACGTATTACAATTTTTTTTCTGGAAGAAGGCTATGTTCAGTCCTTATGTTACAATGCTGCTCAAAAGTGAGACGCTTGTCAGCTGAGCTACAGAATGAGATCCTGTCCAAAAAATAAAAAAAAAAAAGGGGCTGGAGAGATGGTTCAGAAGTTAAAAACGCTTGCTGCTCTTGCAGAGAACTTGGATTTGAGTCCCAACACCCACATGATAGCTAACAACCACCTCTAACTCTGCTTCCATGGGATCAGATGCCCTCCGTAGGCACTAGGCACATTTATGGTGCACATACATACATGCAGGCAAAACACTCATAACACAAAATTTAATTAATGTAAAATTTAATTAACTAATTAAAAAAACAAACAAAAACCCCAAGCAATCTCCCACTCCAAATTGAGGACCTCACCAGTCGGCTTCAGAGTAAGACCCTGTCAAAAAATAAAAACAAAAATAGAGCTGGCTAGATGGCTCAGTAGGTAAAGGTGCTTGATGCCAACCTGATAATCTGAGTTCATGTGGTAGAAGGAGAGAACTGATTCCTGCAAGTTGTCCTCTGACCTCCACACACATGCCATAGTACACATGCACATACATAAATGTAATTAAAATAAATACATAAGTAAATAAAATTTTAAAACAAACAAAAACCCCTAAAATTGAGGACTTCACCAACCTAGGTTGCAGTGTGAGACTTTGTCAAAAAGAAAGAAAAAAACAGGGCCAGCAAGATGACTCATGGGTAAAGGCACTTACTGACAAACCTAATCACTTGATTTCAATCCTTCAGCCCTACACAGTAGGAGAGAACCAACTCTTGCAAGCTGTCCTATGACTGCCACACTCACATCAGGGTATACACATATATACACACACGATACATTAGAAAAAAAACCAAATACCTGAGGACCTCACAGACACCCCTCAGTGAGGCAGAAGGTCTTGGTCGGCCCCCTATTATCAATGTTTTTGTCAAGAACAGGAACCATTTGAAATCAGAAAAAGTTAAGGTTGCCAATATTTCCAGATTTGCTCATAAAAAAGTTCATATGAACTAGTCGTACTTTAACTGTGGGTTATTATTATTATTGTTATTATTATTATTTTGGTTTCTTTGAGACAGGATCTCCCTGTAGCCCTAGTGACCTGGAACTCACTAGGTAGACCAGGCTGCCCTTGAACTCACAGAGATCCACCTGCCTCTGCCTCCCAAGTGCTAGGATTAATTTTTTAAAATCAACTAATTAGTTATTTTTATTTTACGTGTATGAGTGTTTTGCCTTCATGGATGCAAATACACCTGTATCATGTGACGTCTGTGGACACCAGAAGAGGGTGTTGAATCTGGAGTTGCGAATGGTTGTTAGTCAATATGTGTGTGCTAGGAATCAAACCCAGGTTATCTACAAGAGCAGTCAGTGCTCTTAACCACAGAGCAGCCTGCAGATTAATTTTTTTTAAGTAACAGGGACTGATGAGATGGCTCAGCAAATAAAGGTGGTTGCTGCCAAGTCTGAAAAACTTGAATTTGATCTCTGGAACCCACATGGTAGAAGAAGAGAACTGACTCCTACAAATTTGTCCTCTGCCCTCCACATGAACATCACGGTACACACACACACACACACACACACACTAAATAAATGTAAAAAATTGTGCCAGGAATAGGGTATAGCTCAGGAATAGGGCAAGAGCACTTGCCTAGTATGTTTAATGCCCCAGATCCAAAACCCAGCATTGATGAAGAAAAAAAAAGGTAAGGCATGCTTGACAGAAATGAACACAGGTCCTCAGAGTTGTGCTAAATGCTCATAGTAGCTTTGGGAAGACTGAGAGGGTCTCTAACATTCATCACTATGGGAATGAACACACAGATTGTGGCACATGCATTCAACAATATGAAGGAATAAACAATTGATACAGACCATAATATGAATCTTGAAATAATTATATAGAATGAAAGGAGCCACACATAATGAATCCATACTGTATTTTTTGTTCAGAGAATTCTAGAAAATTGATAATGCCAGTAGATCAGTGGTTGTCCATGAATGGCAGAGGAGGAGGGTGGAGGAGACAGTAGAGAGAGACACTGGGGTTGATGACATGGCCATTATCTTGATGTGATTGGCCTCATAAAACATAAAACAAAACATCAACTTGTGGTTTATGGAATATTTGACCTCAGTTAGAGCTATAAAATAAAAGTTACCATAGCCACCATCAGAAAACAAGTAGAAAGTAGAAAGTAGAAGGTTCCTTATCTCCATGGTGGGGCCAGCCAGGCTCTTGTACAATATCAGTGACCTCAGACAAGCTCTAGGAAGCATTATTATTCTCCCCTCTTGTAGTGAGTTTAAGTTTTTGAGTCATGGTCTCTGACAGCTTAGGCTGGCCTTGAACTCACAACATAGCAGAAGATAACCTTTATCTCCTGGTTGTTCTGCCTCTATCTCTTAAGTGCTGGGATTACTGGTGTACGCTACCACATCCAATCTGTTTTTTTGTTTTGTCTTTTGTTTTTTTTTTGTTATTTTGGGTTTTTGTTTTGTTTTGTTTTTGAGACAAGGTCTCCCTGTAGTCCTAGCTGGCCTGGAACTCACTATGTAGACCAGGCTGGCCTCAATCTCACAGAGATTCAGCCTCCCAAGTGCTGGGAT